ATTGTTTTGAAAGATTTACTTATTTATTTATTTGAAAGGCAGAGTTATATATATAGAGAGACAGACATTTTCTGTTTGCTGGATCACACTCCAGATGGCCACAACAGCCAGCCAGTTCTGAGCCACACTGAAGCCAGGAAACAGGAGCTGTGGGTGCAGGGGCCCAAGCACTTGAGCCATCTTCCACTACTTTCCCAAGCGGATAGCAGGGAGTCAGACTGGAAGTAGAGTAGCCTGGACTCGAACCAGCACTCATACGGGATGCTGGCGCCACAGGCACCAGCTTAACTCACAATGCCATAGCACTGGCCCACAAAATTGGGTTTACTGCCTCCACACCAAGGAGGAAAAATGTACACCATGGCAGAACTGGGTGTCTCAGTAAGAGGGTGTGAGAAATGATTTAAAGGATTTGGGGGTGTGTTTTAAGTGTTTTTAGGGAGAGTGCAAAAGAATGTGGACTCGCTCCAGTTGAATGCTTTAAGAAAGGAAGTGTGATTCTCTGATGGATTATCATAGTCTTTCTTAACTAAAAGGCAAGTAGAATGAAACAAAGTTAAAGCTGAGTTTGGTAAAGAAGCGGAAGCCACTCACATAATGAAGGAGAGAAATATCTGGTCATTTTGCAGTTTGGATAATTGTTCTTGTTTTTGTCTGTGTTCAGGCATGATTACACAATGGTCTTACTTTTATTTTGATCCATCACATCATCATGACATTGTCTGATTTCCTGTGGTGTGAAACATTACATCCAAGTGAACACCAAGAACTACTGGGAAGTGCCAAGCCAGCTGTTGGCTGCCAGACTGTGTTCTGCTGGTTCTCGGGTATATGTTTTCTTCACCTTTATAATATTGTACTATCTAGTTAGCTTACCTATTCAAAATAAAAGAATCTAAAGACTGACGTGGATTTTAAAGGCAACTCAATTGGTTCTGAAACTATCTTGACTATAATCTACTTTCTCTGTCCACACCAAGGAGATTTTCTGGTTAATCTCTTCCCTCCCTTCACATGTCACTATACCATCTGCTAGAAAATAGCTCTGGTTTCACCATCATGCATTCCACAGTCAAATGGCTCTTCATATTTTTTTTCCAGAGGAAAAGAGAGCAATGCACTTGGTTACAATATCTTCATTGTTTTCTCCCCAGCAATGACCTCTTCAAATATATCTTCCCCCTTGGTAACTCATGGAACAGAATAATTGGTTTTTCCTTTCATGTAAACTATTCCTATTAATACCCTCCAGACTGCAATTGTCTTTTTTGTACGTGTTCCAACACAGTTTTGCCATTTCTGTTGTCATTACATTTGCAGAGATTCTTATCTTTTACTGGCAATAAAGCTATTTGCATTTGTACTCAATTACATATAATTAGTCTTTTCTTCATGAACAAAAGAACAGGTGTCTTTATCAATTCTATGCAAGATATCATGGTAAGGTTGGTTGGACCTAATGATGTCTAGTGAACCAAGCAACACATTTTTGGCAGATGCTCATAGTAACAAGATTTGGGGTTTTTTTTTTGAACAATCAACTGCTTTTACTCCTACCCACACAAAGTAAAGAAAGAAAAAGCATTTTAACAACCAGAGGCTTATAATTTTCCTATTTTAAAATGTGTAGAATTTAACTCTCTCTCTCTCTGATATTTTTCCTCCTAACCTCTTCTCTGTAAAACTATACATAAAACTATTTGTTTTAATTATAATTTTTCAAATGTATGGGGAGATAGAGAAGGCTAGAAGAAAATATATAGTTGAAAAGTGTACAATCTGATTGAATGCTATAGCTAAGTAAATAATATTGTACCAGCATTCATTTCTTGATTTTGATAATTATACTGTTGTTATGTAAAATAGGACAATTAGATGAAGCTGGATAAAAGCATTTGAGAGCTCACTAAATTGTTTTGTAATTTTTCTAAGCCTTAAAATGATTAAAAAGAAAAAGTAAAAAAAAATATGGGGGCAGGTAGAATTAGTTAGTCAGGGATCTAAAGAAACTTTAGCACATATTCATAAGAAAGCATTATTTATTCACTCCTTAAATGCATACTGAGTTTTTTAATCATGTATTAAAGTCTATTCTAGGCTCTAAAGACAAATGAAGGAACAAAACAAAACATCTTCACTCATGTAACTTAAATTCTCTTGAGAAGGAATAATGTTTTAAAAAAAGCAAATCAATAATAATGATAAATATGTCAGGTGATCATAGGAGCTATGAATAGAAATAAAATGGGAAGGAACAGGTATTTGGTCTAGCAGTTATAATATGCCAGTTAAGACACTGGATGGGACACCCACATCACATATTGGAATAATGGCTCTGGCTCCTGATTTCATTTACATGCTAATGTATACCCTGGGAGGAAGCAGGTGCTGGCTCAAGTAGTTAAGTCCCTGCCTCCCACAGGAGACCTGACTAGGTTTCTGGCTCCCAGCTTCTGCCCAGCCTAGCCAAATGGGCATTTGGGAAATGAACCAGCAGAGGGGAAAGCTCGCTTTCACTTTTTCTCTCTCAAATAAATAAATAAGAAAAGAAAAGAAATAAAGTGTGGTTCTAGATTACAGTGCCAAGGTGAGACATGTAATTTTTTAAAGGATGGTCACAATCTATAAAAAGGATCTTAGTAATATAGTCTTAAAATGGAAATGATAACTATTCATCAAAAGAAAAATGAATAAATATGATTGGATATTCATAGAGTGAAATATTTTTCAAAAATGAATTAAATAAAACAAGTAAATTATTATATACATACCTCACAACCATGTATTCGGAGTGAAAATAAATAAGAACTATGCAATTAAAATAAAAAAATGAGGAATGATTCAAATTTATATGTATATATATATATATATATACACATTTATTGAAAGAAATTTTAAAACTGCACTTAAATACAAAAAGACAAATTCAAGAAGGTTATTATGTCTGGGAGTGAAGTAAAGTGAGATTCCATCAGAATACCTAAGGGATTCAAATGTTTTGTTACCTTTAATGAATTTTCAATTTTATGGTGTGTATCCAGATGATTTTATATTAATCTTTGTATTTTGCATTAAGCCATTTTAATACCAATTTATCAAAAAGTACATGCAGGAGTTGATGATAATGACGTGAGAGTTTCAATGTGTGAGCTGAGACAGATTCTAACACTGACAAAACACATTATCCTCAGTGAATGAGTATTATACATAGATATGTGTGTTTAAATGTATATATGGATATTTGCATGCGAATTTACACTAGCAGTTGATCCAGCATCAGCAGAGAATGCACTCTCAATTATCTCTCCAGAAACAGTGAAGAAAGGATTTGTGTGTGTTTGCCCCACACTGACACTCCCAACTTCTCCCCTACCCCACAATAAGTGTCCCCACCTACAGGACCACTGACTAGCTTCAAGTAGCTTCCTGTAGAATTCTGCATGGCTATTTGGCTTACTTGATGATTGAACCTATACTCATCAACTTATAACTTTTTTCACCTTTTTTGAGTTGAGTGGATGGTGCTAACAGAGAATGTTGCTACCATCACCATTTCATATTTTACAGGAAAAGAACTGAGATCCAGAGATACATCACAGCTAGCATGGCTGTCATAATGAGCAATCCTCTGATGCTTCCCAGCTAAATGTGTGGCTTCACCAGCTCTACATTCAAGTAAGGATGCAACAGATGGCAGACCTATGTGGACAACAAGGCACTCTCATTCCTTTGGACAGAGTTGAAATCCTGAATCATTTAAAAAATGCATTCACACCAACACAAACTGACAATGAAAATCACAGGAACCTAATCAACTACTTTGTAAAAAACTGAGAGGAAAGTGGGATGAAGATTAGTTCATAAGATTAGTTCATTTTTCTAATTCATAGTTTGCAATGTGTTATATTGAGAGAAAAAATCATTTAGAAGGAGTTTATAAGAGCATTTTCATACTTTAAAGATTATGAATTTTTCCTCAAATCTTATTTTTAATTTAAAAGATATTTCACTATAAAATATCCAGCTTCCTAGTTTCCTTAAGCATTTTGGTAGACTATTAGTCTGACCACAAAATCACATCCATCAGAATCACAACTCAGTGGAATACATATTTAATGAATCTGCATTGTGAATCTAACACTAAAAGTTTAACAGCCAATACAGACAAACTTTCAGAAACTTTATGGCACCCTGTACAATTTTGCAATAACACCAACTTTCCCTAGGGTATATAGATGTATGATCTGACAGAATTTGAAAGATATGAGTTATCATTCTTGCTTGTGAATTTTGTAGTTGAAGTTCTACTAATATGCAAATATACTATCACATCCTGATGATTGTATTTATTTATTAAATTTGCCAACTCTCAGGTTAAATTAGTTAAAAATCACTTCTAGGTATATTGTTAGTAATCTTTTACTATTTGGCGCTTTTTATTTGACAAAATAGATTTTTAAAAATCTACTTCAGGTCTGCTACTTTTTATTTTCTTATTATTAAGATATACTGTAAAACATTATCATACTATTTAAATATACTTCTCTTTTAAAATCGTTAATTTTGTCCTTAATTTAAAAGAAGAAGCATATAATATGCACATGACTACATCCAGTGTTTATCTTCAGAAGTAATTTTTTTGGTCGCAGAAACTATGTTGGAGAATCATTATATTTTGTACCATCTTTGGCTGGACATTCTACAATGTTCCTATGGGCATCTAATATTATCTTGACTAAAATCATTGTGGTGAGAAGATATTTTTGTCCAATGAGAAACTGGAACTCTTTGAAGCTTTCTACCTTCTCATTTAATGCATAAGCTCTCTCCCATCCTGCCTCCTTGCAGTAGGGAATCATAGTAAGAAGGATAAAGGAAAATATACTAGATTACTAATAGCTAAACAGTTTAAACAGCAACCTGGCCGTGTCTTAAAGCCAAGATACTCTGGGCCATACATCTGATTTGTAAATGTGTTGCACAAAGCTAATTTTGCTTACTGTAGTCGCTGTTTTCGTCCTTCGTCCCATCAATGGTACCATCTGGGTGCATCTGCAGGAAATATCCCTGCTGGCTGAATAACCTTGTCACAATTCCTTTCAGCTGGGGTTCTGCAAAACAAAATGAAATAATTATTAAAATCTTTATCTTGTTTATAGAAATGCACACTTGTGGAAACATTGTGTAAGAAAAAGCATATGTGCCAATGGCACAAATATTGAAATAAGTATTTAGAAGAGGACATTTCAGTCATACATCTATACTTTCTTTCCCTCTAGGGTAAGAGACGTAATATTTTCCAGCCGGAACCAAATGTAAGTAAATGAAAGCCGATTACAATTTGGAAAATACAAAGGCATGCTGAAAAGTGAGTTATTTACCTCCCTTATGCATCTGCTGTCTGACTGCAAGTTGCCTTTGAGTTTGTGGTCCCAATCATAGACCAAACTGCTATTGTAGTTTCTAAGCTTCTGGCACTCCCAATGAAGCCCTGAAAGACTTCTATTTCAGCTGGATGTCAACTGTCTATCAGAACTCCTTTATTTTGAAATTCTGGTCAAGCCCAGCCAGAAAGAATAACTTGGATTTGAACCACTGGCAAAAGCAAAACCCTCACAGTGATGAGTTGTCACTGGAAAGTATGTAGAAATGCAGATCACACTTTTACTGATAAATATCTCAGCGGAGAGAAGCCCCAGCACTCTAAAAGTCATCTCTTCAGGAAAACAAGAAAGTGAAAAGCAAAGAAGCCAGAAAGCAAGCAAGCAAGAAAGAGAAAATGAAAGAAAGAAGGAAAACTAAGTCAAATTTCCCTGTTTCAGACTATCAGTGTTCTCACTTTCAAAAGTTCTCTGCCACATATACTATCAAACTGGTCTTTGTATGTACCACCACACACACACATTTGCACACACACAGAGGATATTCCACCTGCTGTGTCACTCTACAAATGCCCACACTAGCTAGGACTGGGTTGATGGGAGCCTGGAACTGGGAACACAATCCAGGTCACCTATGCATGTGGCCGGGGGCAGGACACAAGTACTTGAGCCATCACCTGCTGTCTCTCAGGGTGCAAAGTAACTGGAATGCTGCAGTCGGGAGTGGAGCTGGGACTCAAACTCAGGCACTCGACGTGGGATCCTGGCTTCCCAAGCAGTGTCTTAACCACTAGGCCAACAGCCTTCCTGCACGTTTGGAATTTTATGCACAGGCTATTATGAATATTTAAAGCTTTTCTCAGGGTGGTGCTGCTGGCTGCCAGCAACAATCTAGTTTCCACAGTATAACCATCTTTTTGTCTCTAGTGCAGGATAAAAATTAACTACTCTAGTACATTCATAACCCCAATTATTTCATAAAAACGAGGAAAAAAAAACAAAAAGGCTGATTTTAGTGATAAAAATTGAGGCAAAGCTAGAGATTGTGATTGCTGAAGTGGCAACATGGTACCCTGGAAGCATAATCACAGAACTTATTCAAATCAACCTCATCCTTCATCCACTTGTTCAACCAGTATTTACTAAAAAAAAAAAAAAAACCTCTTTATCCTGTCAGGAAATATGTTAAGCTGAACACATTTATTGTTGCTTCAGTCTAAAAAGAATTTCTACTTAAGGACTTGATGCATTTAGCTTTTTGGGAATAGGCCTGCCCCCTGTAACAGTTGTCTATGGTTGCACTTCTGCACATATGACTTAATACACATGTTTGAGGAAAAGGAGCAGGTGTGGTTTCAACATGTGTTTTCCAAAGCAGTCCTAAGAAGTAAAAAGGATGCCAAAAAATGGAAATGGAAATGGAAATGAAAAACAGAGTAATGAAAAAAGACCCAAACTGGAAATTTGGCACTCGATTAACAGCTATGTATATGACTACCTCAAAAAGTGTGTGCAAAAATCAAATTTAAAAAAATTAAGTTTATTTTGGTGCACAACTATTTTAAAAGCCATGTATAGATTTTTCAAAATGTATATTTTCCATTAATTTCTGAAGCACCCTCATATTTATAAGTTAAGTAAACCCAGTTTATTTTTTGGGATCTCTAATCAATACAATCTGGAAGTTAAACTAAACGATCTGTAGGTCTGTTCTATGGGTCTCTGTGAATTCTGAGCACATTAGAATCCTCTACCCCGAGTGGTGGTACAAATTGAGGCACTGGTGCATTTTACTACTTCTCTCCCCTGGCCCACGCAATCCCAAACACCAGGGACATGTGGGAGAAGCACACAGCGAGGTAACCACATGGCAAGAAACTGTACCACCATGCCACCTGGCTGACAGGCAGCTTCTGATGGGGCACACTCAGCTCTCGATCTGAAGTCAGAAGACACAGCTTTGAACCACAAGTCTTGTGTGATCCCCAGCAAATCATTTAACACCAGAGTCTCCATTTTTGTATCTACATGAGAAAAATTCATTCCTATCCTAACTGGAATCATTGAGAATTTCAAATGAATAATGATGTGACAGTGTGAACAAGGAAAGCCCATAAAAATATAAATCCTAATTAAGGTCTAATTTTCAACCATGAGAATCAAAGAAACAGTGTAAGTGAGATGGAGTATTCTGAAAGTAGACTGTCTCCTGATATCGGTTTTAGAAAAATAATAATTGAACTTGTAAGCCACTGAAGTAAATAAACAGTGAGCTAAGAGTAGAGGATCAAAAATGACAGAAAGAATGCAAGAGACACTTCTCTTTGATTCATATTTTATTTCCAATAAGCTTGATAAGGTCACTTTAAGAAGTCATATTTTCTTTGGTAATGAGATGCATGGCAGCTTAGCCATTAAAGCCTGCAAATGATTGTTTGTTTTCTTCATGCTCCTCTTTCTGTACCTGTAATTAAAGACTTCTTTTGCCATGGTGAAAATATCCCTGTGTTGGGGCCTTGGGAATTCAGGTAGGAACTCCCGTTCAGTATAATGAGCATCAGATTTTTATACCAACCCCCACTGCTGAGAGCTGGGCTGGAGCAAGTGCAGCCTCAGGATTAATTATGTGATGATCTATGAAAGTGAACTTCCCGCATTACAGAAGTTTCAAAGGAGATCTGACCATATATTGAGCAAAGGCCCTAAACCTAGGATGGGTCACAAAAAGCTGTGCAAGCCTGCCTGACATCCTGTACCCCATCACCATCTGTCACACCCTACCTACCTTTCCAGGCTCAGCACAAAATGACCTCCTTCATGAATGCTTGGCTCTCCTAACTCAGGATCTCTTTTATAAACCAGGAACCAAGGAATATATTTTGCTGTATTTTAAAGAAAGAGGCTAAAAAAATATACTTTTTTGAAAAGCAGATCTTGCATCCCAAGTAAATTAAACAAACACACATGTTACTTGTCAGGCTATGTTTGGGGCCCTAAGAGAAATATAAAATCTGTCCTGTCCTCAGGGATCACCCAGCCCTATTCACAAAACATTCTATAGCACACTAATGTGGTATAGCTCTTTAATAAAGGAGCAAAGCAGAGCTGTACGATAGCATCAGAGAGCAAGGGACTGATTCTGTCTGGAAGATGGGCAGAAGCATCTCCTCTGTGACTTGAAGAACAAAGAGAATTCTCACAGGCAAGCTAACCAGAGGGAGGGCATTCCAGACAAAAACATGGCAGATTCTGGGAATGACGCAGAGTCTGGAACAGACAAAATATAGGGCAGAGCTTCTCGAATGCTGACATGCAAGCAAGTACCTGTTCTCAGCATATGTTCACAGATCAACAGTGAATTACTAAAAACAGTCAATGGTGTACGTTTTTTATTAAGCTATTTTTTTTCAATTTGAATAGCTCCCTTAAATTCTAAAATTATGTTCTTCCCTTTGATCTTTTTTAATGAAATAATAGTTACATTATTAGATCAGGAGGAAGCACTGGTTTGCTACCTTTTGTGCTCTAAAGTGGTGTGGCAAATACTGCTATCATTTTACTCAAACCCATTTCCTCTTTTTCCTGGGCACCCAGCTAGACCATATGTCCTAGGCTCCCTAGCAGTTAGGCTTGGCAGATGAATGGGTGTCATATGGAATGTAAGTGGAAGTGATGTGTGCCATTTTCAGGCCAAGGCTTTTAAAAGCAAACATTCTCCTCCACATTATCTTTTCCTTATTTCTAGCTAGATTAAGATGACAAATCCCTAAGGGACATCAAAGTAAAAGAAGGGAAGAATGCTTGGTTCCTGAATAACTGATGGGGAAGAGACAATAGCCATCACAAACAGCTGCCTTTAAGAGCCAGGTGAACAATGAAGGATCTTCTATTGGCTGTACAGAAAGACTTCCTTCCAAACAGGGAGGCAAGGAGAAACCTGGCTAACAAACACTACCTCAGCCAGGTGGTCAGGGGTAACATCAGTAGTCCTAAATTATGCCGACAGAATGTCCCCCATATGCTGTGATGAGAATGACACTTGACCTCTGCAATCTTCCTCTGAAAAACCCACAACCCCATTCTGATCATGAGAAAAACATCAGAAAAATCCTAGCTGGAGGTCATTACACAAAATACTTGACCAATACCCCTCAGAATTCTCAAGGTTGTCAAAGAAAAGGAAAGTCTGAGACAACATCACAGACAAGAGGAGGCTAAGGAGACACAACAGCCAAACTTAATGTGGTGCCCTATATAAGATCCCAGACCTGAAAAAGAGCATTACGTAGAAGCAAAAGAAATCTGAATAAAGCATGGACTTTTGTTAACCGTAATATGTTGATATTGATTTTTCACTGTGACAACAAATGTATTATATGAATGTAAGATATAAATAAAGGGGGCCAGCACCATGGCATAGCAGGTAAAGCTGCCACATGCAGTGCTGGCATCCCAAATGGGTGCCTGTTCAAGACCTGGCTGCTCAACTTCTGATTCAGCCCACTGCTATGGCGTGGGAAAACAGTGGAAGATGACCCAAGTGCATGAGCCCCTGCACCTGCGCATGAGACCCAGAGAAGCTCCTGGCTACTGCCTTTGAATCGGTCCAGCTCCGCCCTGTGCAACAATCTGGGGAGTGAATCAGCGGATGGAAGACCTCTCTCTCTCTCTGCCTCTCTGTAACTCTGCCTTTCAAATAAATAAATACATCTTTTTAAAAAAAATGTGAA